GTGACCCACGACTCACTAGGGAGTTGGTTCTCACTCGGACAGGGCTTGTGGCACAGGCGGGAGCGGGTGTTGTGCACGAACATGTGCGAACCTTGCAAGGCTTGGTGCACTGCCTCTCTGACTAGATCTTGAAGATGGGGACAGTCGGGAAGAGGCTGAGCGTTGGCGTTCACCAAAGAGGGCCTAGCGGGCAAGGGTGGTTGACTGACGTGAGCGCTGACGGCTTGTGCGGCTTTTTCTGGCAGCATGACTGCAGCCTCTTGCACGTACCTCAAAACTGACGAGCTTCCCCACCTGCCTAACAGTTGGATGTAGGACACATCCAAGTAGGACCTTGCGAAAAGTTGGGCTCCCGCAACCCTAAAGACATGTTGAGCCCATCTGTCGATGGCATCGAGGCCCCACTCCGAGAGTTGCTCTTGTTGAAGCACATAAGCACAAGCTCTGGCTAAGAAGATTACTTGACTCTTGGAAGCTACCTCGCTCTCAGCAGCTCTAAAAAGGTGGGTTGTGGGTTCCCACTTTTGCTCCTTTCGGAGTTGCACAACAACTAACAGGAGGGCGTGATACACGCATAACACGTGCAGCCCATTCCTGCACGAACACTGCTGAAAGGCTGTACCGAAGAGCTCAGGCGGGGTTGTCTGTCGACAGTCCGGGTCGTGTCGTGGGCTGCAGATGCAGCGATGTACCCGGTAACAACCTTTGGCCTCAGGGTCAGTTTTGCTAACAGGCAGTTGCAACTTCACAGTGCGGGCAGCTCTGTTAAAAGTTATGTCTCTAGCCTGAATGTTCGCAAGTTCGATTCCCCGAAGGAGAAACCAGCAAGCAGTGATGCACGCCTGTGCTGCGAACCGGATCCGTTCGGCTAACGGGACACTGAGTTCGTCGAAGGCCATCTTGACCTCCTGTACGAAGCGTGGGCCCGCAGATTCGAGCTTGAGGTCTAACTTGGGGTTGGCTGGTCCTAGACCGCGGTTGATGCTGCGCAAGGCTTGGGCTCTGGCCTCGTCTAGGTCTGGGCCCCAAATATGACCTTCTTCTTTATGGTGCTGCTTTGCTACCGAGATGTACTGGGAAGCTGACCGGTAGCCCCCTGCCTTTAACAGGGCTCCGACTGCGAACAGGGATTGCCTGGTGATGGGTACCGGTGGATACCCTCTGCTCTCTGACATGCGGGACCATGTCGCCCATCTGCTTTCTCGGGGTGCCTGGGAGGTAGTTGCCCAACGCTCTCTCAAGAAGATCCTGTCGGCTTCTTCCAAGTCTAGCGGGGGGTTCGCTGGTGCACCTGTCGGTGCTGGCTCTAAGCCTAGCCGCTGAAGCGACCCACGCGTCCTGGGACGCACTTGCGGTATGTCCTGACGGGATCGTTTGCTAGGGCGGGCTGTTGGGGCTAGGAGGTCATCTAACACGGTGTCGCCGAAGATACCTCTGAGTACTGACCGGGAGCAGCTCTCCAAGTCATATGCCGACTTGACGCCAGCTTGCTGTAACTGGGGCAGGAAACGCACGAGGTCCTTGCTGCGTAGCACCTCTGCGAGGCTAGCGAACGTGTGGCGCTCTGACTGGATTGCGTCGGCCCACATTGCTATCGACTCTACGCTGAAGCTCTCTAAGCTGCTCGAGAGGTTACTCGCGGGGTAGTTTCTAACAAACCAAAGGGGAACACAAAGACTGCTGACGTAGTTCCACGGTAAGGTGTTTACCGACCTGGGGCTCGGGTACAAGACTGAGAGGTTACCGTTCCTAACAAGCACACACACACACCCACACAGACACCCACGCACCTCACAACACTTCCTGTCACGCACTTGCCCAAGCTACAAGGATCTAGCAGCAGAGGGTGCAGGATCACACACTTGGGGGGCTAACTGGGAGAATACTGCAAGCAGCTGCACTCTACCTGCACTGCAGAAACGACCTAACAAGTCGCTCTACCTAGCACATGTTGACTGTCAACGCTTGCACATGCTGGCTGGCAACACTCGCTGTCCTGTCGTTTTAAGGCCTTGGCGTCTCAGCGAAAGTAAGGGAGCTTACGCCCCGGCGTCGCCGACGAGCTCTTCTAACGAGCTCATACACAAAACTGACGGGAAGCTGCACCTAACTAGTTCCTCGCTCCTCGGCGTCGGTGCAAGGTGGGCATCTGTGGCGCGAGTGCGCTCTGCGAAAGCCTCTGAGGTTGTGGCGCGAGCACATCCGCGTGAAGCACCTGGGACAGCGAACTCTGCAAGCTGACTGGAGGTTCCAGTAGTCCGGTGGCGTGGTGCTAAAAGGGTACCCGTCTTCGGCTACCAGGGGCGCCCAAGGTGGAAGCACTGCCTCTGTACGAACAGGCACGGCCGACCCTCGAGGATCACCTGTCCAGCCGCGCCACTCGGAAGGCTGACTGGGTGCCTTGGCGCCCGCGGGGTCCTTGGCCTTAGCAGCTGACGAGCCTTGTGCGGAAGGGGCATCGGTTGTCCTTGTAGTCGACGGAGACGGGGGCTGCTTAGGTGTGGGGCCCGGCACGGGGCCTTTACCTTTGCCTTTGCTCTTCACCACGAGGCCCGGGGGAGCTGACTGCCACGGCTTGGCCCCGAACACTGCTCCAGGACCATCTGACGGGCGAGCTGGGCGTCCTCCGAAGATGCCTCCTGTATCTGCTGCGCAGGCTGCACCATCATAGCTGGTCACGTCGGGTTGAACTGGGCATAGTCCAGCTCTGACGGGAGCTCGTCCACGAACTCAGGGGGAGCAGAGCGCAGCTGGCTCTCCGAGTGCGCCTCTGCCGGCGCTTGGTCCTCGTTGCTAACTGGTGCCTGGTCTCCGGCGTCCACTGGCTCACCCCACGTGTGTGCTACCTGGACGGGCACCTGCTCAGTTGATCCTGCTGCGTCGGAGGGGGGGCCTGGCACCTCAGGCAAGTTGCCGAAGACGGCCCCAACCAGCAGCTCAGCATCGAACGAGGCCTGGGTCCCCTGCTGCTTGTATGCCTCGAGCCCTTCGGCAACACTCTGCGCCATCAGTGCTGACAGGCGGGCTCGGTGCGCCACTCGGAACTGTTCAAGCGAGTTCATCACGTCATCCTCTGAGGCCTCACACAGGACCTTGATTGCCATCATCACCGCTGGAACAGCACGACGTTCCTCTGCCATGGCGGCGTAGGCAATGCTAACAGGTCCTGCTAAAAGAAACGGGAAAGCTCGAG